GGAAAAAAAGGTCTTTTTTTTAGAAATCAAACTTTAAAAATGTCTGCTGTAATTGAACTCTTCAGACACATTGATTAAGTGTGATAACAGAAACACCTAAAACTGTATTTTTTATTATTTCTTTCTGTTCGACTGAGAGAAAATAAAATCAGTTTTTGCCAGCAGTTTCACCCCAAATATTTTGTTTGTTTTGTAGTTGCTCAGAATGATATTTCAGTGTGCTGTTTTACTTTACTTATATATTTGTCTTGTGCTCTCAGGGAGATCGTGGTGAGACGGGTCAGCCTGGACCACCTGGAGAAAAGGGAGCCATGGTAAGGAGTAAGTCTGGAACTCGTCTCTGCTCTCAAAGGGAACTCTAATACTCACTTGACCTTCAGCAGTCACTGTAACTGCCATGGCTGGAAAGTGGTAGTATGTAGGAAAATGCCTCATCAGCCGTTTTCCATTCACGAGAGAATCAGCTCGACTGCTGCAAGAGTCATTTCCCTCTCGATGACATAAGGAAATTGTAGCCATTTGCTGTGCAAAGTGGTTTGGGAACAATGTCAAAGTTGAAACCAAACTCAAGGCACTCTAAAGAAACCCAAAAGAGAAAGCTTCCAGTCTTGTCGTCATTTCAGTAGTTCCTATAACACTTAGCACTGTCTTTATGTATGGTGCTCAGGGCAATCCAACAGAAATGAGTTAAAGGGTTGAGTTTTACCATTTTAAATCCATTGAGCGGACCTCCGGGTCTGTTGGAAGCATTTTTAGCTTAGCTTAGCATAGATCATTGAATCAGATTAGACCATTAGCATCTCGCTCAAAAATTGTAAAAAAAGAGTTTTAATAATTTTCTCATTTAAAGCTTGAATCTTCTTTAGTTTCATAGGTAAAGACTTGAGTTTCACTATTTTTAATCAATTCAGTCGATCTTCTGGTCTGTTGGGAGCACTTTTAGCTTAGCTTAGCATAAATATTTGAATCTGATTGGATCATTAGCATCTTGCTCGAAATAAATCTAAAAAGAGTTTCAATAATTTTTCCATTTAAAGCTTGAATCTTCTGTAGTTTCAGAGTTAAAAAGCACTTTTAGCTTAGCTTAACATAAATTATTGAATCAGATTTGACCATTAGCATCTCACTCAAAAAATGTTAAAAAGTTTCAGTATTTTATTTTTTTACATTTAAAGCTCGAGTCTCTGTAGTTTCTGAGTTAAAGAGATGAGTTTTACAATTTTTTAATACATTCAGTCTATCTCCGCTTCTGTTGGGAGCACATTTAGCTTAGCTTAGCATAAATCATTGAATCTGATTAGACCGTTAGCATCTCGCTCAATTTGATTTTTTTTTTTTATATAATTTTCCTATTTTAAGTTTCACTCTTCTGTAGCTTCATCATGTAGATGAAAAGAAAATTCAAGTTGTTATTTTTGAGGCTGATACGACTAGGAACTATACTCTCACTTTGGCGTAACAATCAAGTAATTTTGCTGCCATACAATGGTAAAGGTAGAAGCAATGACATTACACACCACTGTTGTTTAATTACCCAGCTTCAGACTAGTATCTGGTGCTGTATAATATCATTGTACCTGCTGCAGATATGGTACTTTACTTACTTTAATTTATGCTAAGCTAAGCTGAAAGGGCTCCTGTCAGACCCAGAAATTGGCTGAATGGATTAAAAAAATATTACAACACAAATCAGTAACTCTAGTAAAGTTTTAAAATTAGCCAATATCCTAATAAAGTTGAGTATTTCTTTGATTATTGTATACTTGCCAGCAAGCAAGGAATCTTCCTTAGCTTTGGTATATTTAAGACTTGTTTTTTAGAAACATCTAAAAAGTGCTGACAACAAAATAAATATAATTGAGAAACAGAACTCCAGAAGACATTCTGGCTTTCATAACGTGTATTTGTCTTGATGCACTGGTAAACGTTTCATTTGTTTTTAACTTGTTTACAGATGCAATAAGTGGAACAATCTGCCAGTGCTGCAAGATAAAATATGTCCTTCTCTGAAAGTAAAAAAAATTCTTTTATTGTTTGTGTTTCAAGTAAAAGCATCTTGCTGAATGGATGTTAATGAGTCGAAGATAAGATGATCTATTTTGTTATCCTCATCACTTTCATTTTATATACAGTACATAGAGGGCATGTTTCAAATAACTTTTGTGTAAACAAAGTGTTGAAATATGTTCATATGTAACAATATATTTATGCAAAAATAAACAACATGCACTGTAAAAAAAAATATCTGTTAACAAGTAAACACGTTCCGTATTTTATGATTTACAGTTTTTGTCCATTTATTTATGATTGTGAATTGCGTTATGGGACGTTGATCTCTGCTCTGTTGAGTTTTTATGTTGAAAACTCAACTCTCCAGTTTAACAAATTGACTTTTAATTGACATTTTAGTAGTTTGAAATATTATAATGTATAAGAAATAACATATAAAGAGACGTAGGTGTGTAAATGAACAGAAAATGTGCTGGTGGTTCATTACAAGGTTTTTGTACCATTATATACAGCACCAACCCAGACAATACATCACTTTAAAGCATAGGTCTCAAACTCAATTCCTGGAGGACCACAGCTCTGCACTTTTTTGCTCCAACCCTAATCAAACACAGCTGATCTAGTAATGTCTAGTAGTCTTGAACACCTTGATCAGGGTTGGAGCAAAACTCTGCAGAGCTGCGGCCCTCCAGGAATTGCGTTTGAGACCTATGCTTTGAACCAGGCATGTCCAGACTTGGTTCTGGAGGGCCGGTGTCCTACAAAGTTTAGTTCCAACCCCAATCAGACGCACCTGGGCCAGCTAATCAAGCTCTTACTAGCCATTCTAGAAACATCCTTGCAGGTATGTTGAAGCAAGTTGGAGCTAAAATCTGCAGGACGCCGGCCCTCCAGGACCAAGTTTGGACACCCCTGCTTTAAACTATTAAAAATGTTAATAAAAGTAACTTTTTTTTAACTTATCAAGGTTAAAAGTTGTTGGAAGAAAGATCAAGATTTCATAATGCAATTTAAAAGCATAAATAAATTGGGTAAAAATAAAAAACATAACAAAAACATGAATCTGACTAACACTTATTAAAATATACTAAAGAATATTTTTGGATTTATATTTATATAATTTTTATAATATTTTAAATAATGTTCAGCATGTTCCAGTGAATGGCGATGGGACATTATTTCTCCAATGTTTTAACATTTTACTACACAAAATTACTCAACATTCCTACTTGAAACCATATAGTGGCAAAGTACAAAGATTCTCCATAAATATTAATTATGTGAAAATGTAATTAAACAGGACGCACACTAAATGTATTTATAAGCTGTATTAACCATATTATTTGTTTATTTATTTTCTTAATTCTTTGATATTTGAAATACTCCTTTTGCACCTTGCTTTCATTATAATATCCCCCTTTTTTGCTGTGTGTTTGGCCAATTTGTTTGATTTGTTTTTGTTTATTATTATTATTATTATTATTATTATTATTACCTCACACAAGAAGGTCGCCGGTTCGAGTCCAGGCTGGGCCTGTTGACATTTCTGTGTTGAGTTTGCATGTTCTCCCGTGTTGGTGTGGGTTTCCTCTGGGTGCTCCGTTTTCTCCCACAGTCCAAAGACATGCGCTATAGGTGAATTGGATAAGCATAATTGGTCGTAGTGTATGAGTGTGTGTTAATGAGTGTATGGGTGTTTCCCAGTACTGGGTTGCAGCTGGAAGGGCATCCGCTGCGTAAAACATATTCCGGGATAGTTGCCGGTTCATTCTGCTGTGACGAACTTTGATAAATCAGGGACTAAGCCGAAGGAAAATTAATGAATGGTTATTATTATTATTATTATTATTACTTATATTTTACTTTTTAATTAGTACTTGTCAGCACTTAAACATAAATAGCATACACTTAAACAATTATAACTTTCAATCACAATAGAAATAGGTATTAGAGATTGTTTCTAATATGAAAGATGATTGCATAATGATGTACTTGTGATTGTTTTTAAGGGTCACCCAGGGGCTCCAGGAGAGAGAGGCCTGTCTGGACCAGCAGGTGCTCCAGTAAGTCACTGTTATGTATTTCAATATTGTAGTCAACATTTAGGTCCTAATTACCTGCCTATTATTAAGATATTAACTCTTCATTAACTTTTCATTAGTAGTTGTAAAGTATGATCTTATTCTGCATTCCTAATCCAAACCCTAAACCAAAGTTCTACCTTACAAACTATTAATAAACAACTAATTAGTAGTTTATTAAGCTAGTAGTGTTAGTTAATGGTTTGTTAATACCGTAACACTTTAGTTGGGACACAATTCAGGCTATTAACTACTGGCTTATTACAGTACCAGCCTATTATTAAGATATCCACTGTTCATTAGTAGTTTTAAAGTATGACCCTTTTCTGCAACACTAAACACTAAAACCCAAACCCTAAACCCAACTTCTACCTTACAAACTACTAATAAACAGCAGGGTTATTAAGCTAGTAGTGTTAGATAATGGTTTGTTAATACCATTAATTGTGACCTAAATTAAAGTGTTACCAAATCTACAATACAGAAAGCGTCTTAAAAAGCCAGGTCTGTCTAACTTTATGCAACATTCAGCTGTTTACATTCTTTCATTAAATATGTCAGTACTCATTATTGACAGACACCAGAGTATTTCCCATTTCTCCTGAATGAAACTCTTCTTTTGCTCTATTCACACAAATGTTGCGTCACGCAACCAATTGGCAGGAAATGCCTTTTGGAGGCACTTGAATGACCCTGCAAGCAGCAGAGGACAAATATAAACATCAGGCTTTGAAGGACAGAGGCGCTGTAATCGGGTCAAGTGATGTTTGTTTGCCTGCCAGAAACTCTTTCCAGCTCTAGCTGAGGTTTCTGAGGGAACGTTTGATTTATTCTTGTGTTTTCTGTGTCCTCCAGGGGCCTCATGGATCTAGGGGCCTCAGTGGCACCAGGGGGCCAAAAGGCACAAGGGTGAGACCTGATCGTTTTCTTTAACAACAGTGATGGTGCTCGCATAGATACAGTTGAAGTCAGAATTATTAGCCCTCCTGTGATTTATTCAAATATTTCTCAAATGATGTTTAACAGAGCAAGGATTTTTTTCACAGTATTTCCTGTAATGTTTTTTTCTTCTGGAGAAAGTCCTAATTGTTTTATTTTGGCTAGTTTTTAGTTTTCTAAAAGCCATTTTAAGGTCAGAATTATTAGCCTCCTTAAGCAAAATGTTTGTTCAATTGTCTACAGAACAAACCATCATTGCAAACTGATTTGCATAATTACCCTAACTTGCCTTATTAGCCTACACTGTAAAAAAATTTCAAAAAAATTAGAAAATAACTAATAATAATTCACAGAATTACAAGCAAACGCTGTAAGAATACAGAACATAATTTACAGCCAAAATACATTAAATTACACTTCATTACTGTTAATAATTAGCATTTAACTGTAAAAAAAACTGAAAACGAACTGTCAGAAAATAAAATTTGATAATCTGTAAAAAAAAAAAAAATATATATATATATATATATATATATATATATATATATCCTGCTCCGTAATTACAAGTTATTACTGTCATTTTTATATAATTGTAATGAAACAGGTAATTTTACCATTTTACTAATTACTTACTACAATTATACAGATTATTACTGTCATTTTACAAATGATTACTGTAAATATATAATTTATTATTGTAATTATGCAGATTAATGAATGCAATTTTAAAGAAAATTACTGTAATTATACAGGTTATTAATGCCAGTATACAAATTAGTTATTGTGATTATAATAATTATTACTGTAGTTATGCAGATTAATTCATATGACTTTAAAGATTATTACAGTAATTATACAGGTTATTAATGCAATTATATAAATTAATTAATGTGATAATAATTATTACTGTAATTATACAGATTATTTCATGTGATTCTGTTTATTACTGTAATTATACATAAAATTAATGTGATTTATTCAGATCAATTCACGTAATTATGCACAAAATCTCTAAATATTCCATAAAATGTTGCACTTTTAACATACCTTTAAAACAGAAAAAAGCTTTTAAAGAATGATTTTAGAAAGCTAAGTACTAAGCTTATAATTATAATATATAAGCTTATAATTATAATTATAGGCTTATAATAATTTATGTTATATAACAATGGCTGTTAATATAGCTATAAACTATATTAATAAATATTTTGAGGTCAAAGTCCAAAATAATTGCTTGGAAAAAAAAAATACAAAATTGTTATATATATATATTTTTTTTTTCTTTTTTTATTACAAATAACACATTTGGTCATCAATTAACAACAAAATCAAGCTTAGAGTCATGTGAGGATGCCTGCACAACAAAGTTAAGGATCAAATAGCAGTTTATTAAGAATCCGCAGCCAGATACTAAGAGTAGTAAAATAAGTAGTAAATTTTATAGTTCACAGTGCATGCATTATATGCAGTCTACAAACAATGGGCTATTATTTGACATAATTAATCTCACTTTAATCTTCATATGATTACTATCTTTAATAGATCTAAAACAATTTGACTGAATTTTTGTTTCCCTATTTTCACAAGAATAATCTGTAAATATTATTGTAAAATTATGTGTAACTCTCTGAAAATACAGAAAATTTCCTTTCAAATTCAGAAAAAGAATGTAATACCAAAATACAAGCAATAACTGTACATTTAATATTAGAATTTTTTATTACAAGAAATATCTGTAAAACAACAGGTAGTTCCCTGTATAATGAAACAACTAGAAAATTCTGTAAAAAAAAATACTGACAATTACCTGTAAAATAGCATGTATTTTTTACAGTGTTCTTGAAACTGAATACTAGTATCCTGAAAAACATCTAGTCATATATTATGTACTGTCATCATGGCAAAGATAAAAGAAATGAGTTATTAGAAAAGAGTTATTAAAAAAGATAATTCATATTATATATTCATAAATTAATAATCCAATTTGCTGAATATTCAATTTCACAACCTAATCCATTCCTGATGGACAAAATCAACCCACTGTACATGTTTTCCTCATTGATTATTATGTTTCTCTTTGAAATACTTCATAATATGAAAGTAAAATTGGTTGCAAATGGCAACTCATATTGACAAGAAGAGCCCTCCGACTGTGTTTTTGACAACTCTGACATCATTGACACAATCCAATCCTCAGGCTTGGGACTTTCCCAACGGTCCTCGAAAACTGAACTCTTCAGCAACCCCCACAGGTTCCCATAACACCCACCAGCATGACACACATCCAAACAACTCAAATTTGACTTTCGCAGTCATTGAAAATCCAAAATCTGCTCTTGATTTTTGCCACTTCTCCAGAGAGTCTGTCCTCTATTTGCCCTCGACTCCCGCTGCTCGCTTTGACTCAGAGCAGATCGTGTGGGTGGCATTGACTCCATCATTGTGATAAAATTCGAAAAAACGACTAGTACAACTGCAGATGGACTTAACTTTTTATAGTTCCCCTTCGGTTGGGGAACTTCAGTGCCATGAATGGGAGGATTCGGATCAGAAGCCGCTTATCTGGAGAGTATTGAACGGGCCAATGAATGAAATTAATTGGCAGCGTAAGCTTGCGCAGGTGTGCGACATCTGCAATCATCTCAGCATATAAGCACACCTGAAGCCAGCAGACGCCATCCTTTTCGCTTCAGATCCTTTCTGAGTGAGTCGATGAGGGTTCCTCTTGCTGATCAGCACTTCAGAGCGAACGAGTGTGTCTCCCGGTCCAGAGTGGGTCTTCGCGGTGGCAGACGGTCGAGCTGGGTTACTCCCTTGCCTGCGGTTCTTTGGGTCCGGTCCTCCAGAGCGGTGCGTATAGTTGCAACTTTCCTAAAAGAGCAACACAGTCGTGCAGCACGTCCTTTTCAGGATGGCGCTCCGACTGTGCGTTTCTGGATGCGGGGGTTTCCTGTCTCCGGATGATGGACACGATCACTGCATTGCATGTTTGGGGGTCCAGCATGTTAATGCGGTGCTCGCGGGCGGTTCATGTCGTCATTGCGATGCCATGACCGTTGCACAGCTAAGATCGCGGCTAACTTTCGCAAGAGAGCGAGCCACCCCAGTTGCCTCCTGTTCTAAAAAAGCAGCGGGCGCTCGGGCAGATCTGAGGGTTTCAGCGGGAGCTAATCCGCCGCCCACGGGCTCGCGGACCTCTCGCTCCTCACGGCGCTCCATCCAAGCTTCGGGTGGTGAGAGTGATCCGTCTAACCAGATGGTAGCTCTCACACTCGCTGACACCGGAGATCAGATGTCCTCCGCGGCATCGGAGGGTGGGCTTTCACTGTCCGACGAAGATCCGGACCCGCTCGCCCCCTCCGGGCAGGTGAGCGCTGTCAAATCGGATCCTGAAGCGGACATGTTAGCCGTGCTTTCCCGGGCTGCTTCGGCCGTGGGGTTGGAGATGGTTTATCCCCCAGCTCCGCGGCCGGACCGACTAGATGGGTGCTACGTAGAGGACCAGAAGGCGAAGCCTTCGAAGCCTCTCGTCCCCTTCTTCCCGGAAGTGCACAGTAGGCTCACGCAGTCCTGGAGGGCACCTTTCTCTGCCCGTGCTGCGAGTGCCTCCGCCCTCACCGCCCTTGACGGCGGAGCTGCCAGGGGGTATGAGGCGATCCCGTCAGTGGAGCGCGCTATCGCGGTCAATCTTTGTCCGCGCGGCGCCTCTACGTGGCAGGGTTTGCCCCGCCTCCCGTCCAAAGCCTGTAGGTTGTCTGCCTCCCTCGGAGCCAGAGCTTATAAGGCTGCGGGCCAGGCTGCTTCTGCTTTGCACGCGATGGCCACCTACCAGCGCTACCAAGCGCAGGCGCTGGCCGAGCTGCACGAGGGCGGGTCCAACCCAAGCTTATTACATGAGCTGCGCACCGCGACCGACTATGCTCTTCGGACTACTAAGTCCGCCGCGTGTGCGCTGGGGAGGACGATGTCCACACTTGTGGTTCAGGAACGCCACCTCTGGCTAAACCTGGCCGATATGCGCGACGTTGACAAAGTTCGCTTTCTTGACTCGCCCATATCCCAGGCTGGCCTGTTCGGCGACACCGTCGGTGAATTCACCCAGGAATTCAAGGCGGTGAAAGAGCAGTCGGATGCGATGGGCAATGTCATCTATCGGCGTGGCCGTAAGCCCGCTCCGCCCGCCGAGCCATCCACCTCCGCTGTTCCTCGCCGAGGGCGCCCGCCAACGAGTGCTGCCCCGCCCCCGCCTGCGCCTCCAGCCAAGCGGGCGCGGCGTTCACCTCGAAAGCAGGCAGCCCCTCCTGCCCAGGGCGCCGTTAAGTCCGGTAAACGGACCGCGAAGCGTCCCTGAGACAGGCCATCCGGAGAAGAGGAAACTTGCTCTTTCCCCGCTGGAGGGCGGGGCCCCGATAACAACGGTACTTTTCAGTGCCACCAAAACATCAGTAAAAGAGCACTTTTTCCCTTCCCCGGATGTGACTGCACGAGTTCTGCCAGTCCGGGACGCGCTGCCTTCCGGCTCGCAGACTCTACGTGCTTCGCCAGTGGCTCACGAGCGCTGGGGGGACGGTCTCCCTTCCCTCAGCCCTCCAGCCCCCTCTCCGGAGTCAGGGTGCGGAGCCAGAGCGAATCGCTCTCCTCCAGCTTTTCCGCGAGACCCTCGTGCTTCCCGGATCAGCACACCCACTCCGCGCTGCCCCACCGCTGGTACGTCAGCGATTGTAGCGATGACTCCATTAGCGAGGGCTCTGCCTGCCTGGTTAGCGCGGGCCAGCCCCTCGCGGTGGCTCATACGCACAATCAGACTCGGTTACGCGATTCAGTTCGCGAAACGGCCCCCCAAGTTTACGGGCGTGTATTTCTCCAGGGTCAACCCCCTGTCCGCCCCTGTCTTGCGAGAGGAGATTGCTGCCCTCCTGGCGAAGGGTGCAATCGAGCCGGTTCCTCCAGCCGAGATGGAGAGTGGGTTT